ACAAAATTTGTTTTGATTAAAATAATTTATTGTTGGGCTTTGGGCCGAAATAAAATGTGTTTTGATATCTAATATCACAAGCAGGATAAATCTCATAGAGATAAACCCAATATGTTGACTATTTGGGTGGTCTTCATTGGGAACCTGAGTACAGACCCAAATCAAGAATAAATGAAGAAATTATTTATGATGTGAACTTTGAAATGATTTATTGAAATAAATCATTAGAACAAATGATATGAATTAAATGTGCGAAACCTTTTTGAATAAAGATCAACTAAATCAATTTTACTCTGTCAAAGTCAAACATCAAAAAAATATGATGTCAGAAAAAGTATAACGAATAAATGTAAAAATTATATCGTTGGATAGAGTTTAATTTCACGATCGCAATGGTGCAAACGGATTTCAATTCGGAGAAAGTTGGACCAAAAATTGTACCCCGACTGGAACCAAAATTGGTCCCAATCAGAGTACTGCTCTGTCGGCGAGTAGATCCTAAATTGAAGGAATCATCATCTTGCGTCTTCTTCTTCATCACCACTTTATATAAGAAAACCCAACTCATTCAATTCTTCACCATTTCTCTCAAAACTTCTTCCTATTCTGTTGCTCTAAGTGAGTAGAACGCAGTGGTGCCGTCAATTTGGTGTGAAGACGCCGGAGCTAAGAGTTATCGTCGCCGGAAGTTTCACCGGAAAATTTCCAAAACCTTCATTAAGCTTTAAGGTAAGCCCGTTGATATATCTAGTGATTAGAATGTTCATATAGATCGTTTCTACGTTCATAAACGGTCGTTTGGTTGAATTTTGTGTTTGACATGTTTGAAGAACCAAGAATCATAAACTTTGAAATTGTTGTTAAAACTACAAATTAATGGTACCAAAATGATCTATGAACCTTGGAGAACCTTTTTTTATACTTTAATTGAAATTTGGGAACTTAAAATGACATTTCCGCAAGTTGGCTCGAGGTAGAAGACGATGGATAATCGATTATCATTTTGAAAATCGATTATGCATCATTCTGCAGATTTTTGGAACAAAGCTGAGCAATAATCGACTGTCAGAATGTGACAATCGATTATCAGCCCTCTCAGAAGTTTGATAATCGATTATCAGAGTGTGATAATCGATTATCAACTCATTCAGAACATCAGATAATAGATTATCAGAAGTGACAGTAGATTGTCCCCTATACTATTGAAGAAAACAAAGCTAGTAGTTAATAATTGAATTTCTTATCATATATTAATCAATTATTGTTTAGAAAACATGATTATTAAACTATGAAATCCTATTTTTGATACCAATTGATTATGATCTTTATAAAGGTGAATTTTCATAATAAAAATGATATTTTTGACAAATAAAGTCTTGTGTGATGCATGACGGTAAGTTCGGGTGTTAACACTCGAAGCTAGGCCGCTATTTGTTATCGAATGTTATGTTGATTGATGAGTATGATGAATGATTATTATGATGATTATGGCTTGATGAAACCACTGATTAAAATGATTATCAAGGATTAAATTATGTATTGAAATGAATATGTTGATGATTATGAAATGATTTCGATTGTAAGGATATCTAGAAGAACTCTAAGATATACCTAGGTTGACTTTGGTTTCTAAGACTATCTAGAAGACCTCTAAGATAGCTTAGAAATAGGCCTTGCGGGTATAATCATGAGTATTCGGTGGCCTGGGTTAAAACGTACGTACGGGATCTACAAACCAAACTTGAGGCACTCGTTTGGCGATACCACCCAACCCGACAGTGAGCATTTCGGATCCGCTGTTCGGTTTTTGGATGACCTTAATCGAAGGTAAGTTTAAGATTTTGAAAACCTTTTTTGAAAATTTATATCTTAAACTAGGCCTAGCTTAAGGGTTAGATAAGAGTACCTTAAACTTGAATATAGTTTAACTATGTTAGACTAGAATTCGTTTAAGAGTTGGTAAACATCAAATAGATTGGCCTTAGACTAAGAATAGTTTAAGGATATTGTTGAATGACAAATGATGAATATTGTATGATGTATGTTGAATAAAAATGTTGANAACTGAACATTATGTGCATGATATCAAATGGTTGATTATGAATTGAGATTCAATTTATGTGGATGTTCGACGCATTAGATATGCTTACTCAGCTTTACCGCTGAGCGTGTAGTGTGTTTTATTTGCTACACGCAGGTCAATAGAATGATGTGATGTGATCCTGGAGGCAGACGGAGGCGAGATAGTCAGAATGGATGTGATGGTTTTGAATTAAAGAATATAAATAAATTATGTTTGTGGTTATAATTTGTTAAGCTTCCGCAATATTGAAAACTCTATACTGTTCATGATATGAAAAATATTATTATAATAAATAAAAGTGTTTGAAAAGTTTTAAATTTTACGATTACCAAGTTAATACTTTAGTCCGAAAGGGGCTGCAGACCTGGACGGATTAGGGTGTTACAATTTGGTATCAGAGCAAATGGTTTTAAAACCGATCTTCGGATCAAAATTTGAAATAAAAAAAAAACTGAGTCAATCACATCCACGACTCTCGCGTCCCTCTGCTCCAAGAAAGGTATGAAAAATTACTTGGTAAATATTTACTCTGTTAGAATTCTCATTAAATAACAATTGATTAGTACTCAAATCGTATCGAGCTTAGACTCTAATAGAACTTTCGTACTCAGTAAAGAGACGCAAGAATGAATGAAAAATATATGACCCTCTGATCCGTTATTAACGTACGCATCGCATCACGAAGGACGAAACTGATCTACATCGCAAAATCGTACGAAAGTGAGACGACTATAAAGAAACGATAATTGTTGAGAAACAGCTGTGAAGTCGATGTCAAAGATCCTCATGTGGACTCAAGACGATCTAATCGCTGATTCAAAAACGAACATCTAGAATTAATGAACTCTGTTATCTGAAGTATCCCATTCTAATGTCTAACTCATCAAGATGCAAATATGTGATTATATCTTAGGAATCAAAATCGTTCATTAAGCGACAACTCCTTGCAAAACCTCGTTGAAATACCATACAATGAATATGACAATTATCCTTAGTATACATTGGCTGATCGAACGATGTTGGTATTGACAACTCTTGACGAAGAATTCTTCAACTGAAGATCGATGATGGAAACCTTATATAGGTGAAAGCAAAGCTGATTTCTAAACCGACCGAGTTCATCTCGAATTTATGTGTGCAAACCTCTCAACCAAAAGGAGCGTAAAGTCTTTTCGTGTGAAGTCTACGTAAAAAGAAACATCTGAACTGAAGTAACGTACCGAGAGTATGTCACCTCTCTGATATGAACTTCCTAATATTTCACCGTTTCGAGAAATTGAATTCTCTGTCAATCTTGATCCTAGAAAGGACCAATATTCGTAACTTTGTATTGAGCGTGTTTTCATCAATGACTTCCTAACAAAGAATCATCTGATCAAGTGTTTCCTCTTTGGGAGAATACCTGTTTTGTTCATACGCGAATCAATAAGACTCTATATCAACTACTCTCAGTTGAACAATTTGTTATCCTTTACCTCGTATCATGACTTATTTGATCAGCTTAGAGAATCCATTGTATTCTCTAAGATTGACTTACGGTCAGGATACTAACAAATCTCTGTTAAGAAACTTGAACAGACTGACGATCGAGAATTGCTATCTTGTACTATAAACTGATGACTTGTTCGATCAAATTCAAAGAACCTGCTTGTTAAAAGCTATAGACAACTCAACCTTGTTGAATGAACTGATGCCTTGTTATGAAGCGATTAATGACCTAATTACTTATCATCAGAAACGTCAATGAATAAATGAAGTAAAGTGATGCTGACAAGACAAATCAATAAGATAGTTGACTCGTTCGAATATCCTATTGACGTAAAAGATCGCGACCGTGATGATGATACAAAACATGACGTGAAACAGTGACACCAACAGTGAAAGACTGAAGAATGAAGAAAATGTAGGTTGCATGTGGCTAACCACTGATGTTTATGAATAATATTATTTCAACACAAGATACGACTTGGATTACATGAAGAAAGTTACAAATGCAATTCTAAGTCTAGTCTTCCAGGATTCACAAACTCGTCGTAACTAGCCCCAGGATCCGGGAAAACTTTAGCAAACTCTAGTTTGTCTAAAAGCTCACCAACAAAGAAAGAAGAAATGAAAAGTTTTCTTTGACTGGAAGCCATGAAGTTCTGCCTCACCGCATCATCTAAAAACTTGATTAGGTTATTGAAATAACCGTCAATGTTCAAAAGACCAATGGGTCTATTGTGTAAACCTTCAGAAGCCCACGAGATTAGGGTGAACAAACCTTCCATAGTGTCAACTCCTCCGGGAAGAATAATGAAGGCTTCCACAATATGATTCATCTCGAAATACTTATAGTAATTGCTGGAAACAGTGTACTCTACACCGTACGTAGGTCCGTAAACCTGTCGTGTTGCTATATACCCTGGTATGAAACCTCTGACTCTACCACCATTATTATAGACTGTTGAAGCTACAGCTCCTTGAAGGCCAACATTGCCTCCTCCGTAGGTAAGCCTGATCTTTCGCCTTATCAATTCCCTTCCTAAATCTACCGCAGTAGCCGTAAACTTTGGATTTCTACCAAGAGAATGACTGCCAAGTAGACCAACAAATCTTATGGTGTAAGGAAGTGTTCGAAAAGTTCCTTCCATAATGTGAGAATGATTCTCTTTCCATAATATATATAGTCTATGAAACCTGACCAATGATGGAAAGATAATTATCACCAGCCAAAATATGTACAGTAAAATGGATTCAAATTACTTGCAGACGAGAACGTACTCGCTAATACTATAGTCTGCTAACGATATGACGTATTGAGACTCTTGAACAGTTAGATTCGCTATCCTAAAACACATTCAAATCCAAGATGAAAAGTCAAAACGGCTATTTCCTAAGACAACAACCTCTTGAGTAACTTCCAAAGAGTGAAACATTGAAGGAAGAAAACCTACGATTAGTAACGATAATTCGCAAACGCTATCTTTGTATCTTGTGACTCATATCCTTGAGATACTCAAACTTGTTGTGTTAACTACACCCTTGAAAACATCTCGCTTGATCAATCTTGAAAAGATTGAATTCCATTCTTTGTATCAAGATACTAAAACCATGATTCTTCATTGGAACCAAAACAATACTCGGTGATACCATGATATCGGTCTTTGGAAACTATACCCTATTGAATACATGACTCAATCACAATAATAAAACTACCTTGACTTGAACATTATGTTGAACCTCTCTTTGTAGACCACAAAACGATCAATACGATTACGCTATCTCTGAAAATTATTATCGATGATATTGTTAGAATCCTAGCAAGGAAATGTATGTGCGACAACCAGAGAAGAAATGGCGTCACAAAAACAGGCTGAATCATTCAAGTGAAGATCCCGAACCTATATGCGATGTTGGTATAAGAACTAGTAAAGATTCCTCACTCTATGAATTCATGAATTGAATCACGTACTGAAGATATTATCTTTTTCCTCGAAAGAGATCAGCCATAGTGCTACAATCAAATCTGTCTCTATCATATCTAGATATGTTTTCAAATTAATAGAAGAAGTTTGAATACGACAAATCCTACATGAAACGCTACTCGAACGTCATCACTTATGAGTACGAATACTCATTAAAAACGATAAATGAGAGCTACCATGAAGATGAATGAAGAAATGTTTCGACATAAGGTCGATGAATGACGAACTACTGTACAACCGATCGACAGTATTTCCTCCTAAATGATGACAAATCCTATATCCTGAAAATCTTGGACCACTAAAAGACCTTTGATGTAATTGTGAATCATTGTTGAACTATGTGAACGATACGAAGATATCTCAAAGTGAAATTTACGTTATGATGTGTGAATTGAAGACAACTCCAAAAAAAAAAAATCTCCCACTACATCTATCGCGAACTTGATAATTTGAAACTGCAAAGGCTACTGAAGGACTTTCAATCAAAAGAAGAAATATCATTAATCAACGTTGTACAATTGGGAATTGTGAATAAACAAAGTTATGTGCGAGTATGTCAAATATACAACCGTATACATTGCAAAGAAACCTTAGTTGTTGATATTGAAGGATCACTGAATGTCTTGCTTAATCAAAGATTGTTAATCTCTTGAAGAAAGAACGAGTTTCGTAACATCGACAGTTTGAGAATAACTATCCATGTGGATAATGACATGATTATGATTTAACTGAATGAACATGACGCGATTATGATTAAGTGCGATCACAACAAAACGTTGAACGTTGAGCTTTAGAACAATTTCGAGGACGAAATTCCTTTAAGGGGGGGATCGGAGAAATGTAACACCCCAAAATATACCCTAAAATTTCTTGAATTAAATATTCAATTAAACAAAATTTGTTTTGATTAAAATAAATTATATTATTATTGGGCTTTGGGCCGAAATAAAATGTGTTTTGATATCTAATATCACAAGCAGGATAAATCTCATAGAGATAAACCCAATATGTTGACTATTTGGGTGGTCTTCATTGGGAACCTGAGTACAGACCCAAATCAAGAATAAATGAAGAAATTATTTATGATGTGAACTTTGAAATGATTTATTGAAATAAATCATTAGAACAAATGATATGAATTAAATGTGCGAAACCTTTTTGAATAAAGATCAACTAAATCAATTTTACTCTGTCAAAGTCAAACATCAAAAAAATATGATGTCAGAAAAAGTATAACGAATAAATGTAAAAATTATATCGTTGGATAGAGTTTAATTTCACGATCGCAATGGTGCAAACGGATTTCAATTCGGAGAAAGTTGGACCAAAAAGTGTACCCCGACTGGAACCAAAATTGGTCCCAATCAGAGTACTGCTCTGTCGGCGCCTCCTAGCGCACTAGTAGATCCTAAATCGAAGGAATCATCATCCTGCGTCTTCTTCTTCATCACCACTTTATATAAGAAAACCCAACTCATTCAATTCTTCACCATTTCTCTCAAAACTTCTTCCTATTCTGTTGCTCTAAGTGAGTAGAACGCAGTGGTGCCGTCAATTTGGTGTGAAGACGCCGGAGCTAAGAGTTATCGTCGCCGGAAGTTTCACCGGAAAATTTCCAAAACCTTCATTAAGCTTTGAGGTAAGCCCGTTGATA